CAGATTTTAGGCCTCTGTTTTACTCCTCAGCTTACAATGCCACCAGCTGCAGAGGATGAGGGAAAGGAGAAGCAACAGTAGTGGAAACCTTTTGGGATCAGGGACAAGAAAGGTGCAGAGCCAGGGAGGCGATGACTGACCCACTTACCTGGGGGCTATATCGATGTGGTTAATATTGATGCCTGCCCCTGTCATGCTGATTATCGTAAGAGCCAGCGTTAGAAGGACCACGGCAGCCGTGGAACTGCAGCCAATGTAAGGCACAGCCACCAGGCAGATGGCTGGTAGCAGCATCCCTTGGGAGGAGGAGATGCCTTTTTTATTATGGGCCACACAAACACATTGGAAAGACCAGATGGCAGATGAAATCTTGTGCTTACCCAGTGCTGAGAAAAGCTTCCTGACAGCTGCTGTGCCAAACACCCGCCTGGCCAAGAGGAAATCAGCCAGTAGCCCAGCCAGGATGTGCCCCAGCCCATTCCCAATGTAGGGCAGGGCAGAGAGGAGCCCGTTCTGCAGAGCGGAGAACAAGGCACTGTCACTTCCGCGGCCTGAAGCAACGGAGCCAAGGGCTCCGAGACTGCAGCACCCCTGCTCCCAGAGCTGACAGCCCTCGAGAAGGCATGTCCCTGAGGAACCTCCATGTCCCCATCCTACAGAGGGATCAAGTCCTATCCCTGCTGCAGGGACCAGCCTCAGGGCGGCACTCACCTCTCTGAGGTCGAAATGGAGGACCTCGCTCATGAACGTGGGCATGGAGGTCAGCAGCATGTAGAACAACCAGTCTGTGCAGAAGCAGGCGATGGCAATCGCCCAGAGAGGCAGTGATTTAGCCATGGCCAAAAGTGGAAGGGAGTGGCCATGAGAGCTGCCCTGGAAGGAAAAATCCATGGGTCAGTGGCCTCCTCTCTAGGCTCCCATCCCCTAGGCAGGCTGCCCCCTCTTTCCTTGGCCTCTCCACCCATTGCTGAGTGGACTAGGACTAGCCTTGGCACCTGTATAAGGAGCCCAGCCGAACTCACTAAGAGCAATCCCTTTGCCACAGAGTCTGCAGCGTGATCAGTCATGGTTAAAGGATTTTGCATACCTGGTGAGCCAGCGACAACACGATGTACTCCCGCTCCGTGGCACTAATCCAAGGATGATGTGCCGGGTCCTCGTACACAAGGAGGAACCAGCAGACGCACCAGGCACAGCCAACACCGCCTGTGGGGAGCAGGGCTATCAATGCCAGCTCCTCTTAGGATGTTCATCCTGGAGGTAGGTGGCTTCAACCCGTGCACTGTCAGGCTGGGACAGGACAAGGCGAGGGGTGAAAGGTGGCAGAACTGAGAGCCAGCGGGGTAGAGGCTGATGCTAGTGAGATGGAGAATGCAGGAAGTTGGGAAAGGTCACGGTCTGCTGCGCTTTAGCTGAACCCATTGCTCACAGTGGAAGGGGCTGAGCTGACAGCATAATAGGTTCAGCAAAGGCACATTCTCTTAACAGTCTCCTGGCAAAAAAGGTTTCATCCTGGCCTGGGGGTAAGAGAGGAGCCCAGAGCTCTGCGTGGGGCTAGTGAGGAAGGAGGGAATCCTTTGGGAGATCTGCCAGCAAACACCCTGCGGTGGGGTTGGAGCAGAGGGATGTGATGGGCCATTACTCACCAAAGATATAGAAGACAAAAGGCCATCCCAGACTCTGACTGATGATCCCAGCCACAAGGAGAGCACAGAAAGTCCCAAAAGTGCATCCTAGGGATCAAAAACCAGAAACGTTGCTTCAATAGGACTGTGGTACCCAAGCACCCTTTGTGTGTGCAATTGGCACATCCTGTGACCAACAGCGAGTGATGTGGGGAGAGATCTCTCCTGCCCCCACCCAACCTGAGCCAAAGAGACAGAGAAGATGCAGGATGGGAGAAGGAGAGGCAGAAGGGCTGAACGCTACTAACACTTTGCCAGGGACTCACAGCCTTGAATTTGAGGCTGCTACAAGGACTGTCTTGGAAAGGAGCAGGTGAGGTAGCATCCTGGACCTGCTGGATTGATCAGCAACGTTCATGAGCCTGCTGCGTTCCAGCGGAGGGGCCCATTTTGCCCAGAGCGTGTACTGAGCTGGAAATATCACCCCCTGCAAGGGACAGGAGGGAGCATGGAGATAACCAGAGCAGGTTTCCTAGACTGGCAGCACCCAGAGCCAAGACTGACCTCAGCCAAACCCAGCAGCACCTGCAGCCCGATGAGGAAGCTCACGCCAAGGTCCGCTGCTTGGGGCACGAGGAGGGTGAGCACGGAGGCGAGCAGGAGCCCGCTGCCCAGGACGTGCTTCCCTCCGAAGCGCCCTGAGCAGTACCCACCCAGCGCCTGTGTGAGGCCATAGCCATAGAAGAAGGAGCTGAGGACGATCCCTTGAGTCTCAGTGCTCCAGTTGTACACGGGGGCCTGGAGGAGGCAGAAAGCAGCTGTCAGAGGGGTGAGCGTATAACGCAGGCAGGAGATGTCTATTTTCCAGGCACAGACTCCTCCAGAAGGGGAGAAGCAACCAGGAAACACAGCCCTGAGTACAACAAACTGACCTCTCTGCTCCCTCACCCCACCTTGGCCTCAAGGCTTTTTTTTGCTGCTTCCAAGTCCATGCTGCATGAAAACGCAAGGGTGGATGGAGCTATCAGTTTTCTGAGCCTGCCTTCCACTTACGCCCCTAGCAAATCCTCGGTGGGAGCCGTTGGGAGTGATGCCGGCTGAGCTGTGGGGGCTGCTGCTGTTAGTCATGGCGACGATGGCGATGCTGAGGCCGACCCGGAGCAAGTACGCCATGAAGAGAGACATGTGCAGGACAAGGGCCAGGCCCCAGCGAGCTGAGCAGAGCCCTGCAGAGGGAGAGCACCCACAAACCAGAGCTGGTCAGGGAAGCTGCAGGTTAATTCTCACCCACTCGTGCGTATCTACATCGCCAGGTAGGAAGAAAGCCCCAGACAGTCACCTAATTACAGCAACACATCCCTCTTTCCAGATACCCTCCAGATATCTCTCCTGATACCTTCCACAAGCCCCTTCCCTCCTCCTTCACGGGGCTGGCACTTTGTGTGTGCCTGTTTGTTCAGAAGGAGAAACAGAGGGGCAGGAAGGTGAGGCGACTTGCCCGAAGATGAAGGGGGCATGTCAAAGTCAGAGGCTCTTGGCTGCCAGCCCCTGCTCAGGGCCTCACTTCACCCCGCTTCTCTCTGGGGAGTGAATTTACCTGTCCTGAAGGATGTCTGCTGAGCAAGCAGAGGGGCTTCGTCCTGCTCTGCCTCCGGCCTGTCCTCTGCCTGCATGCTGTCAACGTGGCACTGCATCCTCTCCTGCCAGCAACGCTGCTGCCTGCTTCTCCTCAAGACAACTTCCTGTGCTGTCAGGAAAGCGAATTTCAGACATCAGTAAACATGGGAGCAGCCGGACCGCTCAAAACTGACCCCCGGCATTTCCTCCGAATGTGCAATTAGTGGCGCTGCGAGAGCAGAGCAGGGCTGGCAATCACAGACGCCTCCACGGCCAGCGCAAACGACACAAGCGTTTTATGAGCACGCTGATTTACAGCAGCCTCAGACCTTCCCGGGACGGTCTAATTCGCATCCTTGGTTTTTAACCCTCGATCACGACAAGGGCCATGGAGTCTCTCCCCGCAGCGGGATGCTCCCTCCCGTGCTGGGGGCCTCCCGCCGTCCTTGCTCTGGGCCGCATCAAGCGAAGCCCCTTCCCCCTGCACCGTCCCCCCAAGGTGACTCCCAGCCCCCGGAGGAGCCTCCCCGGGACCGGCCGCCGGACGAGG